AAGGAAAGGAGCACAGAGTGCTCCCGTGCCCCCCCCTCCCGAGCTTGCATGACCTGCTCAAGCAGCTTAGGGACTCAGGACATGCAGGGACGTGGACGAGGGGTACACAGGCTAGGCCGGGGGCTGGGAGTGTCCACGGCCTCTCAGGCGGCCCCTGCAGGACTCCGGGCTCAGTTCCCTGGAAGCTCCTGGGCTCTTAGGGAGACTCTGGGCTTAGGCGTGAGGTGCTCACAGCCTGGGGGACCTGTGTGTCCAAACTCCAGCCTCTGTGTGACACTCTATCCTCCGGGGTGTGGGGCAGGACCTTTCTGGAATGAGGGTTTAATGTCTCTTTCTTTTTCTTCTTTTTTAAATTTTCCAGAGGAAGCCTGCCCTCCCCAGAGAGCGGCAGATGGAGAGGCGAGGGAGGAAGACCCCTCAGTGGGCTGTGGTCCCCACAATCCCTTCTTCTCCCTCTCTCCGTCCTTTTGGGATTTGAGGCACGCAGTCACCCACACCTGGTGTGTTTTTCAAGCCACCAGGGCTGGGATTCGAACCATGGTCAGCGTGTGGAATTGGCTCCCTTACACGCTAGGCCACAGAGCCAGCCCAGGCCACGCTCTTGGTCAGCCAGATGGTGCCCTGAGTCTCAGTTCCCGGCCCTTGGGCAGGGCCCTGCCTTTCATTCCTCTGTGTGGGACACGGCACAGACACGAGGGGAGAGGGCTGGGATGCACAGAGGCAGGAGGGACGGGGGTCTTCAGAAAGTTCTCTGAAGAGTGTCTTACGGAAAACTAGGCATGGATTCCCAGGCGTTTCTGCACCAAGTAAACTTTTACCTTAGTTCCATTGTTCCACCGCTGCTGGTCAACAGAGCGGGGTGAGGCAGACCGAGAGGGGGTCCCCGTGCGCAAGGACTGGCGCCCGCATTTGCAGAAGAGCACCTTGCTCCCTGTCTGCATCCGGGTCTCACCGTTTTGCTGACTCTGGCCCACGCAGGACTTGTCTGGGGGGTCATTGTGAGAAACGAGGTGCCAGTCCCTGCAAGGCTCCCGGAGGCCACCTGCCCACGGCCGTGACTGCCTTCGCTGCTGCTGGCATCCCTCGATGGCACTTTGGGGCCCGCGTACAGTAGACCAAGGGCCCCCGACGGTCTGGCGATGGGAGCGGTATTCATCACATCAGCGCACTAATGAGTGTGTAATTAGAAGCTGCGTGCGACAAGTGCTGGGGAAGAGCTCGTCCCTCATCGCCACTTCCCCTGTCCCCTGACATCGTGCCCAGTGACGGGGAGCCCGAGGGTGTCTGCTTTCAGAGGACGGGCAGACCGGGCTCAGCTTGGTGGCTTCTGCCCCCGCCAGGGCTTCACTCTGAAACCCCTTTCCTACCTGGGCCAGGGCAGGCGGTGAGGCCTGAGCTGTGAGAGGGCGTGGAGCTGGGAGTCCTCCCTGGACCCTTCTGGGCGGGGAGGGCTGGGGGCCAGAGAGAATGTGGACTCCTGGAAAGCAGGGGGAGGGGTGGAGGCCCCCCCAGGACAAAGCCTCCCTGGAGAGATGTACGGAAACTTTAACCTGTTCTTGGCCCCATGTTTGTTTGTTTGTTTTTGCTATAGGGCGTGTGTGCTCACCAGACAGACAGACAGAGACAGAGAGACAGAAAGTGAGAAATTACCCCCCAGGGGGGATGGCCACGCCGCAATCCCTTCTCCTCCATTCTCCTCTCGGGATCTTGGGCACGCACACACACGCGCCCGGCGTGAGTTTTAAGCCACTGGGTCCGGGACGTGAACCGCGGTCGACTACGCGGGAGTCCAACGACATAGCCATTACGCTAACTGCTGGTTCCCTCCTCCATGGGTTTTGAAGCTTCCTGAGATTTGACCGCCCTTCTTGTCCTGTCTGTATACAGTTGGAAACATTTCTGAACATAATTTCAAACTCGCAGATGTTGAGAATAGTCTGGCTTTGGCAGAGGAGACCCGCACCCCTTTACACAGACTGGCTGTGTTACAGTTACCCTCTGTCCACGCGTGTTATAAAACACAGTAGACATCTGTCTCCAGATGTGAAATACATCGCATGTGCAACAGAGTGAAAGAGTGGACCGTCCCAGGCCGGGCAGTGACACTGTGACAGCGCCGTGCCCTGGCTGGGCGGGGACACTGCGACAGCGCCGTGCCAGGGCTGGGTGGGGACACTGTGAGAGCGCCGTTCCCGGGCTGGGCGGAGACACTG